ACAAGTAAACGTTGCGGCGGACCCTCACGACAAAAAAAAAAACCCCCCAAATAAGGAAACTTGCAAATGACACAAAATTTCACTTAGTGGAGGCGAAAACGCAGGGAAAACTCTGGGTAAACCAGTAAGCATGACAAAAAGGAGCAGCTGTTACAGGGGGTGGTGGGAGAAGCGGCGTAAAATGAGGTCTGGTTAATGAGCTTTTGTTTGGAGGGTTCCACTTTGTAGGAAAATGAGCAGAGTAGGGGAGCCTACTGCAGAATTAAAGATACTCAAGTCCTTATCTTTGAGGATAAGTGTGTTGAGTTTTTCAAGCAGAAGAAGAGCCCAGAGATTACCATAGATCTCTGACAAAGATGTACCTATTTTAGGGCACCAAACAAGTCGCATCTTCCTCCATCTTTTCTCTTACTACACGCACTTAAAGCTGCTCTTCTTTTTGTGGCTTTTTGGTGCTGTCTTCACCAAAATTTGTTTACATAGCGAAGGGTCTAGGTTTTCACAAAGGCCACAACTGGCGCTGGCCCTCCCTCTCCATCTTTGTAGTAGGCTCCACTTCCGTTTCCTGTTTGCTGTTGCTGCTGCTGCTGCTGCTGTCCATCTTTCGGTGCTTGTGCATAAATTAGATTCCGCTGCTTCCGCGTGGCGTTGACTGCCGCTCATCTAATAAATTTAAGTTCTTAAAATCCCACTCCGTAACACGCATTAAAGCAGGAAATCGCGGGAAAAGCAAACGGCGGGTCAGCAGCACGTTGCGGCCATCAACTGTACAATTTACTGTTGGGCTTGTGTTTTCTTCTTTCTCTATATAAAATAAATATGTACTTTTGTTATTTACATTTTTTTTATATTTTTTAATTTCATAAAAACAAAGACAGTAATGTTGGTCCGACAGCCTCCCAATGGTTTCGCCTGACTGTGACAACTCCGGCTCTCCCTCTTATGGACATTTTCCATAATTTTATGGGCCTGCACACAGATGAGTTTTCTCTGGGAAAACGCCAGCGCCCACGCTTTTGCATACAAATGCAAATCGAAATGTAACGAAATTGCCAATGGACTTATTGCTGCCACCGTTTCTACTGTTGTTTGTAAATTATTTGTGGCTTCGCCTGTCGGATATTGCCACAGAAACAAATCCAACAAGTCCGACAATTCCATTTTATACGATTTATATGGCATTTGTTTACAGGAAACGCTGACTGGAGGTGTGGCACTGTCCACTGTAGCTCCACAAAAGCGAGGACTGCCCCCACAGGAGCGGATGAGCAGCAGCAGGGGAGGGGCAGGGCAGCGTACCTAAATAAGTAAATTTTCTGCATTTACTTGTGAATAAATCACAAAAAAGGTGGAAAACGAAAAGGAGTGCAAAAAAAGGGGAATAAAGGCAAATCAAAGTTGTAGTACACTTTTACCTTTTTTTTCCCTACTCAAACCACTGTCCAAATCCCTCTTGAGTACGCTCCTGGGAGCCTGTCATCCCTCTGGCATCCCCTCCCTTCGTTCGTTAGCTTTCATTTGGATAGCGCAACATTTGTGCTGACACATTTTCTCTCGATTTCTTTAACACATTTCTTCCCCAAGCGAAAAGCGGAAATGTTTAGGCATTCAATTGACGTTCTGTTTGTATACAAAATAATGCACTTCATGGCCATCCCCTCTGCAAATCGTGGGGCCTAATGACAGCTTGTAAAAACACACAAATTTATTTATACAAAAGGGAATGTCAGAAGAAGGAACGAAAGGAGTATTAATGCAGGGCGCGCCTCCACTCATTTTTCATTTCTCAATCGTTTCATTTAATGTACATTTGCCACGGTTCTTGAGATGACGATGCCCCACAAAAGAGTGCATGCCATGGCATCATTACAGCGCCACAACAGAGACCTGCTCCTTTGATGATATATGGAGCAATAAATGGAAGCAAAGTTCTTGAAGAATCGGGTCATTCCATGCTCCTTGTTTTTTGGTCATATTCGCACATTGATTGGCATTTTGGGGGTGTGTATGGAAGCCACGATATGTGGTGAAGCTGTCAGCACAATGCCCACTCATTCGCGGTTGGTGGGGCCAATGAAACAAAACCTCAAAATAATTTATTGTTTATTGGATAATTTTCAATACGGTTGAGGTTGAGCTGAACTTTAAATGTACCCTGTAGTTGAAACTAAAATGTCTTTGGTTCATACTTAGTGGAATTCTATCTATTGATATAACTTTACAACTTCCAATAAACTTGAAACTTTATTTACAGTGAATTTTCCCTACACTGCACATTCTGTACGCCCAATCAAGTATTCAGATTACAATTTCTCCGTCAAGTACTTGCAAAAACTCGTATCGTGCATTTTGCTCCTAAATTCTATACGCGAAATAAACTATTGATATTCTCTAAGCCCCATCAAGTGAAAGATACCCCTTATATAACATTTGTACAATTTATTTACATAAATGGCACCCCTCAATGCATTTCCATTCTTGCATCTCTCCCTCTTTCTCTCTCTTTCTCCACTTCGCTGACTTTCAATAGTTTCGCATACGCTTCGGTTTAGTTTTTGCTTTGCCAACAAAATTCTATTTTTCGTTCTGTTTGTTCTTCTTTTATTTGTATTTATTATTTATTGCTGCAGATATTTCGCCAAAAAATATGCGCCGATAAATTCATTTAATTGAAAAAAAAAAACCCCAAGCGTTGGAATGGACTTCATTGTTTTACAACTTTTTAGGGGAATGTTTGCCAATTCGTTGGGATTTTCAATAGAATTTCAATTTGTCATCTATCGAATTTGCGAGGTCGATTTTCTATTTGCTGTTAAAAGTTCCACTTTAATTTAAATGTGGCTTCGCTTTTGGTTTTGATTTCTGCTAAAAATATGTAAATATTTTACATTTACCATTAGTTTACCCCCGCACATCTAATCGGACAATTCATATTTCACAGTAATATATTACTTTCCCAACTTGGATGTCCGCTCTCCCCCATTTCCCATAATTTTTGATAACAGAATTTCCTCACTGCCCCACTAATTATGCAGTTTTCTGCAGTCTCTCTCTCTCTCTCTCTCACTCTCGCTGAACTTTGTCGACTGGCAACCACTTTGACTTTATTAGAATGGCCGGAAAAACGTTGCCACATTATGAAATATTTTCTGCACATTTCCAGTGGCCATCGCTCTGCTCGTTTCTGGTTTTCCGCAAGGCGGAAACACTAACGAGAAAAGTCTGTTGGTAGAATTTTTGGCAGCCATGCCAACGCTTGCCTGCATCCGGCCATATCCTTGGGCCGTACCGGCTCCTTGGATCTATGACTGCAGCCTCATTCTCAGAATCATTTAGCCTGATTAATCGTAATTTTTGTGGCCTTGCAGCAGTATGGCAGGCAATGCCTAATTGCTAAAGGCGCACCCTTTTCGGTAGTCACTGTAAAAACATTGTAGATTCAATTTAAGAAACGAAGGGCTGACCTTGAGTGCTGGGTAGGACCGCCTGTGGGGCCCGACAGACAACGTCTTAAAGGATTAAAGACAAGTGGTGAAGAGGCGAAAAGAAGCGAACCGAAAATGATTTCTATTCGCCCAATGGAACATGGCAGGCGACACTTTTGCCGCCAGTCCTCAACCCCCACTAGCAATCTCTAACATTTTTTGTACGCCTCATTTGCATAAAGGGAACACAGGCCATAAATTCATGCCGCAGACGGTTCGTTCGGACGCGTCTCAGACGCCGCCGCTTCTTCTTTGACGCCTTAAAAACATCTTAGTTCGGTGTTTCGCCTGGGCCTAACAAATGGCCAACGATTTGCGGGCTAGGTGTACGAGTAAGTGACATTAAAGGTTAAAAGATTGGTCTCCAGAGAGGTTTTCGCTTCAGTTTTACTATAGATTAGAGACTGTAAATTCTTTCTGCTCTAACGATTTGAGGCATGGAGGGTTGGCATATTTTCGTAGCTTAAGTTTTCGTACATTTTAATCCAATAATTCATTAACTTATTTGAGAAAAGAACTTTGACGGCAATCTTTGAAAAAGTACTTTAGGAAATACTATAAATTATAAGAAAATTAGGATGAATATATTAAACATTTCCCAGAAAAATCCTAATAGTTTAAGACAGAGATCCAATAGCCCACATTTGCAAGAGTAAACTACTTATGTTTATCCGCGAATTACAGTTTTGCCTCTGCAATAAATCCTCTGATTTGTAGCTTCTTTCACGGGTTTTCCTTAGTTCCCAGTACCCCCTTTCTATCACCCACTTTTGCTCCACTTATTCATTAGTTTAATCGTGTTTTAATCCCTGAATTAATGCTCTTAAAGTAATGATTTATTTGTTCGCCAACCTTCAGCGACAGTACGTTCCACACATGCTGCCACGTGTTCTTTCGTGCATAAATTAGCTAAAGCCATTACCCTTGCTACCAGTTCCAGTTTCAGTTTCAGTTGGCTGCTTTAGGGACCAGAGACCAGAGACCAGGGACCTATTTGCCAAGCGTGTATTTTTCTATGACTCCTCAACTCATTTACTCATTCATTCGCATTCATTCATGCATTCATAGGCGACTAACGGACTAAAAGCGCCATCTGTTGTCGCCATTCACAATGACCTTAACCTCGGGGAAAAAAGGAGCAAAAAGAAGCGAAAGCAATCTAAAGCGAAAGTGAAAGAAGAAACGTAGCAAAACATCAAACACAACAAAACGGAGCAACAGCTGTTGGGCTGTACAAACAGCTGTTCCACCGCCCAAGGCATGCGCGTGGGACGCGTCACCTTAAGAGAGGCCATAAACGATTTAAGAGAGACTCCTTTGCAGACTCCTTTGTATTTGTTTGTCTTTATTTGTGTTTGCTTGTGGAATTTGTTGGGAAAATAAGTTCCACCGACAGCCAGTTGTTGGCAACTGCGACTGCGGCAGTAACGGCTCCAAAAGTTAGGCGCCCAAACAACCGACGATGACTATTGGCGCCCGCTGCCATTCGCATTCACAGTCTTCTGTGCCCCTCGGTGGCGCTCGCATCGTTTTCGCTCGCTTCGCTCTGAACCAATCTGAAACCGATCCGAAAGGAACTGACTGCAGCAACCGACGAGAGTGTAGTGTGTTTTAATTTCTATCCGTCAGAGTCAGTTGTGTTTTGCATTCCTAACGCTGCGGCTGTCGATCGGTTGGCAAAGAATTTTGGAATTTTTATACAGAATCCATAAAGAAAGTGCAGTGAAACCCAACAAATAAAATTTGGTTTTAAACCAAAGAACAAACAGCAAAAATTCAATAAATAAATCAAGTGAAAATTAAATGCTTTTGATTACGGAGAACAGCTGTTGGCAATAAATTTGCATAGTTTCAAACGATAAATAAAGGTGCCGCATTCCGTCGCATTCTGTGTGAATTCCAGTTGCATTTGCAGTAAGTGTCCAAAGGATTTGAATTATTTTTGTGGGGAGGCAATAAATAACCCTCTTAACTTTTGACCGCATTTGTGAATTTGCACTGCAGTGCCACAGCGAGTGCCAGAGGGCATTCTTTTGGAAATTTGTATAGCCCCATCCTGTTTCATCTGCCGTCAAGTCAGTGCCATAGATATTTGAAACAAATCCGCTTTTCGTTCCTAATCGCATCAGACTTTGAGCGCAAAATCAGACAACAATTACAGCCGCTTTTCCAGGAAATTTATCAATATAAATGCGTGCGCCAATAGATTGGTTTTCACTTTTTCGATTTTTTTGGGACCAAAAATTTATCGAGTGTTGGTTGGGTCATTTCATCGTTCAACACTTTTCCTTACCATTTTGCTACTCTTTAAGTGCATGAAAATAGAAGAAGTCTCCGAACAAAACCCCTCCGCAAAAGGGTCATCTATTTTTAAGGATTTCATGCCCACGCGTCCACGCTCTCTGTCACGGACACCCAGGCCTTCAAGTATTCTTTCGCCCATTCTGCTTTGGCCATCCCTTTGGCAGTCTATTGTCGCCGACCGAGACCCCTCAAGAAGCAAGTGATTTCTCTATCAAAAGATAAAGAAACCCACCCACAGAAAAGTTTGAATTTCCTTGTGGACATGAGACAATGCAAACAATCGCACTAAAATGGCACTGGGAAAATACTACCACAAGTACGGGCACTTGGCACGTGACAAGAGACAACAAAAAGTAATAAAGAAAAGCCAAAGAGTTGAAGTAGTATAAAGATACCTTTTTACAGATTTATGAGTTTTGTAATTTTCAAGGATTTTTTTTGTATGGGAATAAGTATTTATTCAAATGGGATAAAAGATGATGATGTAAACTCAGGGTCTTTGTGGTTATGGCAGCGATAAGCGCCTTACGTAATGGAATACACAAAAATCAAACCGTTTCCCCCAAAATATGAGCACATTTCCAATCAATCTCTATTTCTCTATTCGGGATGTATCTGCGTGCTGCACCGCCAAAGAAAATAAAAGAAAATTGCACCGAAAACATGCAACAAGAACAATCCCTTTCAAATCTAACAAAGCAAAAAGAAAATAATGGAAAATGTATCCTATTCCAGGTATCCCGCATGATTCTTCAACCCCTTTGCCAGAGCCATAGACATAACCAAAACCAATAGCCATAGCAACAAAACAACAACTCAGTCATCTGTCAATTTATTAGTGACAGGAAAAACCGCACAACAACAACAGCAAACAGGGACAAAACTTAATTAAAAATAGTGGGGAAGCGAAATCCTTGTGTTTTTCCCTTTACGCATGTTTTTGAGGCTCATCTTCCCAGACCGATTGTGGATTTCTGTCCAAAGTTTCCGGGGGAACTTTAATGACGTTTTATCGGCATCAAAATTCCAGTTTTCAATTTCTGGCTTGTCTTTCGACTTTTGACTTGTGCTTCCTGTAGTCGCGGTTTCATTTGCCTTAATGGCAAAAGATTTTAATCAAAAATCAGTTAAAACTTTGCCCCAAAACTTCAACGTGGAAACTGTTTTTCTTTTGGGGTGGGGGGGGGGGGGGGGGGGGGGGGGGGGGGGGGGGGGGGGGGGGGGGATGTGGAGCAACGAAAAACTTGCTGTCATCTGCAAGTAATTTTCCATCTATAAACTATAAATTACGATGGGTTTTCCCTGTCAGTAGACAATAGACAGAGATGGGAAAATGGGTGCCGAAGACTGATTTGCATAACGTGTGCGGCCACAGCCTTCATGCGTATGCGTAATAATAAACGAAAATCAACGCTCAACGATTTGCCTTATTGACTTGAATATTACTTTATTTTTTTTTTTTTTTTTTGCGCAGGCAAATTTTTAACCTACGACTTCCACTTTCCCTTCGATTTTCCTTAGCTTTATATTCAATTTCAATTGCGGTAAGTGTGGGGTGCATGTGGGAGTTTGTGTGTGGAAATAGCGTTTTGGTTTGTTTTGTTTTATGCACGCACAAAATATTTCCTCTTTTTTTTTGTTTGTGGGTTTTTTCGTGTTTGAGTTTCGTAATTTGAGTTGATTTGTGATAAGCGTGTGGGCTGCTGCCTGCCTTCGATTGTTTTTTCCGATCCCCATACCATCCACTTACTTGTGTATGTGTGCCTTTGGGTGTGTTGGCCTTCAGCCCTTAGGCGCGTCTAGTTCTAGGCCATGGCTCTCATTTTTTATGCTCTCGTTTTTGTTGAGATTGCGGCAAGGGCCTTGGGGTCCTTGGGTCCTGTACTTGTGCCTCTGATTTGTATGAAATTGATATCCCAACAATGTTCTCCCTGCACGTAATGCCAATTATGTAAAAATTACTTTATGCTTTTCCTCCTTTTTTCCGTTTGCTTTCGCATTGGTTGCCAGTGGGGGCAGAAGGCATTTATGAATGGAAAAGCAATTGAGGCATTAAACGGGGCAGCACATAAAATGAATTCCAGATTTAACTTTTTGCAGCCTTAAATTTAAGAATTGAGCTTCTGGTTACACTATGTCTTTTACACCGATGATTTTGTATTATAGAGAAAGAAAATAAAACCTTTAAATATATAAGAAAATGCTACAAAATGAACGCTATAAAAAAAATAATACAAATAATTAATAAAAATAAGAACAATTATTACAAATTATTATTAGAAGATTCCCAGTGGAAGAATGCAATTTTCGTTACTTTATATTATTTCTTAATTTGTATATTCATCAGGGAGTTGCATTTCTAACCAATTTTATATTTTAGAGCGAGAAATCCATTGCTGCCCCTCAAAAATATATTTTATATTCGATTAAAAGCTTAGCCACAATAGATTCACACTTCTCACTTTCGCATGCAGCGTATTTTTTTTTTTTTTTCCAATGGGAAACTCATGCAGCTGCAACTGAAACAGCCACTTGCCCCACTTTGCCACTGCTCTACCGCCCACACAATTGCCTCAAGCGCTGGACCAACTGAAGTACTGGAAAAAGCATAGAAAAGTTGACTCCTGTTTCGGACTTTCCCCTAGCCAAATAAACAAAAACAAAAAAAAACGACAGAAAAAGTTTTGAGCAAAAACGCAAACAAAACGCGAAGCAACAAAAAAATTGTCACACAAAAATGCCAACACTTGAGGCGCTTTACAGGGCGCGCTGGCATCAACAACTGAAAAAAGTTGATTCCAAACTACACAAAAAGCGGAAAGGGAACGAAATATTTGTGATAATAAATTCCGAAAAAGAAGTAGCAGCAGCAACAGCAAAGAATCCGCGAGCGACGACTCTTGCATAATTTATGAGAGAGAGAACTCAAAAGTCCCAAAAAAGAGGAGCAGAGTGAAGCGAAATGCAAATAAACGATGGAAAAACTGTGATTATGATTTGCAACACTTGGCTGGCTGCCGCTGCCACTGCCACTGCGCTTCAGCGACGACAATTTTGGTATGCCACGTACCACAGCCACGTCTTTCCGCTGCCACTAATTGTTAAACGCTGTAAAAAAGTGGAACCAACAAAAAGAAACGTTCAAGTCAAGGACATGACCATGGCACCTTAATGAAGCCATCGTCATGAGAAGAATTCAGAGCAGCCGCAGCAGCAGAAGGGAATGTGTCCAATGAATTTAACAGTAAAGACCCCAAAAGTATTTTCGTCAGACTCATCACAGTTTTATGAGTTGGGAGTCCTTTTTCTCCTAGGGATAGTCAACACCAGGTGCTTCTTTAGATGAATATTACACCCACCATAGCCCACAGGCACACCAAAGTTAATTCTGGCTACTGCTTCAAGCGCATTCCGTGATACCACATATGGCATTCCATGTAGAATGCTCTCCCCCACCAATTCTTGGAAACAAGCCACCACTCGGAAATAATTTTGTACTCCTCCGCAATGTTGGTGTCAAGTGTCGCTGTAATAGTGTAACATTATGGCTGGTAAATGGGTTTTGCCTCTACTTAAATTTCCATGCCACTGCCAACATCTGTCGCCTAGCAGCCTTTCCTTAAGGTGGATAAAACCCATACGAAGGATAAACTGCTTTTGGATAACCATAAATGTCATACAGGCGGCGGGTGACCACAGCTAGGTGACCAGGCACGTCTTTGGGTTGATTGTGGGGGATGGTTATGGGTTGTCCCAAGCAAAAGACATCAAAACGGAATCCATTTAAATTACATTTCAATGTGATATCCTTCGGCTGCTCACACATGAGTGCAGAAAAAGAGAGAAAGGAGGAGGCGGCATACTTCTCCGCCCTTTGCTAATGCGGAGGCACGTAATAGACAACATTCTGACTGCACACAACTGATCCGGTTGCCTGCCTCCTGCCTTATTTATTGCCCTCCCCGCCAATTGCAGCAATCAAAATCGCAAGCAACTGCACAGGAAAAACTTCTCTACGGTTTTCCGGCACACACACACACACACACAACAACACGCACACATATGAGTGCTGGTGCGTGTCTTTGGGGGCCAAGAAGTTGAACCAAACAAATCATTGGGGGCCCTCCATCCAGCCAACCATCCATGGTTCATTGAATGAGCTTTCAAGTGGCAGCAGGTTGAGGGCGCGGGCTGGGGCGGAGGCAGGCATTTTTTAATAGCGCGAATAACGCGTTCGTATCGCAGCAACTGCCAGACACTTTGGCATAATTGGGTCATAAACTCATACAAAACTAGTTCAAGGATCAATTCGACAATGGCTGATGACCTTTTTCCTTCCACACAACCCCCAACCCCCGCGAGTTTCGAGTGTCGAGTGCGTGTGCCGCCGCCGTTTCGATAAACTGCATTGAGAATCGCTTGGCGCATAATTCAAGAAATGTCAAGAGAGACTATCTGAAAGTTATGGGCATATAAAAAGTGCGGAGAGGATACATCAACAAATTTGTCCATAAAAAAGAGCAGATAGTTTTCTCGAGAGTTTTATGGCTAAAATGAGGAACAGGACGTTTAAAGATGGTGATAGAAAACTCGCATGGCAGTTCACACAT